CCCTCTTACTTTAAGTCTTGCCCTAAGTGGGTGGAGGAAAAATGAAGTACAGCGTTTGAAGACTATTAATAACACCTCTTATCCTGAGGCTCGGAAGCTATTGTTCCCTACCCCATCTCGGACATGTGCCACTGCACTACGCTACACTGCTACAATGGGAGTGCAGACGGACCTTTCCGGGCCATAGTCTGAGTCTTTTTCACGCCATGTGAGGGGTCTTCTGCCCTCCATGGATTATAGAGATGATAGATCTTCATCTACTCCAATCTCTGTCCCCACTGTTTCTTCCAGTAACTGCCTGGGTCAACCTCCTCGAGCACCAGCCTTTGGTGTCTGCTCGGGTCCTTCTTTGGCTCCTAACTGCAGGACGATCCTTCGATCACGTCCTCAGTCATTGGATTCTCACTCTGATGACAGAGATCTGCCCACTCGATCAAGGGCAGGATCCATGGAGGTCGATCGACCTCCATCTAGTAAAGAAAAACGGCGTGGTCGTAAACCGACGGGTTCTCCACCCTGTTCTTCTAAACCTACATAAAAATGGCCACTTTGATACAGTGGAACTGTCGAGGTTCTCGTTCTAATCTCGATCACATTAAGGCCTTGATTGACTCCTATCATCCCGTGTGTCTCTATTTACAGGAAACATTCCTGAAACCTGCCGATACAGTCACCTTTCGGCAGTTTTCTTTGTACTGGAATGACAGGTTGTATGATGGGCGAGTACACGGAGGGGTGACACTGCTGATCGACCAGTATGTGCCCTCCTTATCTGTGTCTCTCGATACACCCTTGAAGGCTGTAGCCATCCATGTTTCCTTGGGTAGTACCATCACTGTTTATTCTCTCTACCTGTCTCCTGGGGAGACTTATGATGAATCGGACCTTGATGCTCTCATTGACCAATTGTCATCTCCCTTTTTACTTCTGGGAGACTTTAATGGACACAACCCCCTCTGGGGTGGTGTTGATATTGATGGGAGAGGTCGTTCCATAGAGCGTATGCTCTCGGATCACGACCTTTCTCTCTTCAATACTTGAACATATGCTTATTTTCATGCACCTAGTCAGTCTTTTACTGCCATTGATCTCTCGGTTTGCTCCCCTTCACTTTTCACTCGCTTTTCTTGGATGGTCGACAGTGACCCACGGGGCAGTGATCATTTTCCTATCATTATGAGGGAGGTTGGTCATGGTCGATACCACCCGACCCGTGTGCCACGGTGGAAGCTGGACGAGACTGACTGGCCATCTTTCACCCCTCTCTCTCTGAACTTGATCCTGCCTTCGTCTGTCTGCCATCAATAGACGATTGTGTGGTGGCAGTGACTAACTGTATTGTCCAGGCAGCTGCTCATTTTATCCCTAAGACCTCGACATGTTTTCCACGGTATCCTCGTCCATGGTGGAGTCCTGCCTGCCAGGAGGCACAGAAGGCTCAAAAACGGGCCTGGGATACCTTCCGATGGTATCCCTCTCTTTCTAGCCGCATTGTTTATTAGCGGGCCCATGCCCATGCTTGGCAGGTTCGACATCAAAGCCAAAAGGAGTCTTGAATTAAGTTCATTACTAGCATCTCTTCTACCACCAGTTCCAAAACTGTATGGGACAAGATTCGGAAAGTCACTGGGAGGTATGCTTCCCATCCCCCTTTCCATCTTGCTCTCCAATGGCCAGGAAGTTGCTGATGTCCAGAACATTGCTGATGCTCTCGGTCACAGCTTTTCTCGTACATCTAGCACTTCTGTTTCTTCCCCTGCCTTCTTGGCCATAAAGTCTTGGGCAGAGCGATCGCCTTTTTCTTTTCAGGCCGATTGTCTCTATGATTATAATCGCCCCTTTACAGTGGTAGAACTCAAACTTGCTCTTCATCGATCTGGCAGTATATCGGTCGGACCTGATGATGTTCATTATTAGATGTTGCACCATCTCTCTCCTGCCTTTCTTGCTATTCCTCTGGTTATTTTTAAGTGGATCTGGCAGGAGCATGTTTTTCCTGATGCTGGGTGCCAGGCTATTCTACTCCCCTTCTCTAAACCTGGGAAGGATCCCAAGACTCCTTCTAATTATTGTCCCTTCACTTTGACTAGTTGTCTTTGTAAGGTCCTATAGAGGATGGTTAATGCTCGTCTTGTTTGGTTCCTGGAATCGTACACACTCCTCTCACCCACACAGTGTGGGTTCCGTCGACAGCAATCCACCATGGACCATCTGATTCGACTTGAAACGTCGATTAGGGAAGCCTTTCTCAAGAAAGAACACCTTGTTTCTGTGTTCTTTGATCTTGAGAAGGCTTATGACACTACATGGAGGTACAGAATTTTGCAGGACCTCCACTCCTATGGTTTGCGTGACCATTTACCCATTTTTATCTGCAATTTTTTACAGAACAGGCGATTCCAAATCCGTGTGGGTTCCACTCTTTCCCGTTCCTTCCCACAGGAACTTGGAGTCCCTCAGGGCTGTGTCTTGAGTGACACACTTTTTAGTGTTAAAATTAATGCCACTACAAATCTTCCTCGAACTGTTGCAAATGGGCTCTATGTCAACGACTTCCACATCTTGTGTCAGTCGTCGAACATGAGGTTTATTGAGTGGCAGCTTCAGACTGCCCTCAATCGGTTGTTGACATGGACCACTGCAAATGGTTTTAAATTACTTTTTCCAAAACCGATCCCGAGCTCTGTCTCAGCGATATATTTATTCGTGTGGTCCCTGAGACAAAGTTCTTGGGGCTTATCTTTGACCATAAGCTTAGCTTCATTCTGCACATCAAACAGCTTTGTGTCAAGTGTGCAAGGGCTCTGAACATCTTCTGTGTCCTCTCTTCCAGCTCTTAGGGAGCGGATCGATGTTCTATGCTCAGGATCTATCGTGCTTTGATTCGATCCAAACTGGACTATGGGTCTATGGTTCTGCCAGGACCTCGGCCCTGAAGATGCTGGACCCCATTCACCATCTGGGGCTTCGGCTCTGCACCGGTGCTTTTCA